TACAAAATAAAAAAAAATAAAATAAAATGAATGAACAACAAAAATATATATATATATATATATGCAACGGCTTTCGCGCTAGTTGCTCAATCCGTTGCTTGTTCAGTCGAGCATCTGAAAACCTCAATTACATCGACCCTAGTAGCTAGCGTAAGTCTTTAGATAGGATGAATGAAGCCGGAAGCTCATCTCAAAGTCCCTTTAGAGATACAAAAGGCAGTTTCTCAACCGTTTAGGAAGCGCGGAGTGAAAGGGAAGTCGTGAGGCTCACATATATATATATATATATACTTACTTGTTTTGTCCTCTTCCACTAGCACGTAAACCGGTTGTCACCGCGTACATGAATCTGTCGTAGTCCGTACATTCCACCTCGTGAGTTGCGTCAGTTTGCTCCAACTGCAAAAATGCGATATAGTGCTCCCTAGCAATGGGGCTCCTGCATCTGCTGGACTTGTTTTGTTCTTGTCGAAACAAATCCAGAGTTTTTTAAAATGTGGCCTCTACCAAAGCTCTGCACGGCAGGAACCTAACCCCTTTCAGGACATTGTTGTAACTCTCCGACATATTCGTTGTCAAGGTGCCCCATCTATGTTTTTCATCTCGATACAGGGTCCACTGGTTCAAAGGAATTTTGAAGAGATAATTGTATGCGTCGAGATTAAATTCTTGAAGTTGCTGTTTTGTCTGCCGAAACTTTTGCTTCGACAACTGCGAACCCAACTCCAACACCAATCCCGAATTTTCTTACTCCTGAACCGAGTCACCACGTTGCTTCGAAGGTGTTGAAGGCAAATCCGGTGATACGCAGTGGGTTCTTGCCAATCCGGTAATGATTCAATCGCACTGCGTAGACCCATATCCCTGTCAAAAAGAACACATATATGTTTGTCGAATACAACATATCGCCACAGATTCCTAAGGAAAAATGACCAATTGTCCGTGCTTTCTTCGTCGACAAGCGCATACGCGATTGGCAATAGCCACTTATTCGCAGTCTGTGCTACGACCACGAGCAATTTCCCTTTGTAATGTCCACGTAAATGTGTGCCATCAACGCTAATAACCGGCGGGCACATTTCGAAGGTTCGAATCGCGGGACCAAACGCCCAGAACACAAATCTGAATTCTCTGTCTGGAACGTGTCGCGCCACATCACCACCCTGAAATTTCCAATCTACAGCTGTGTTGGGATTCGCTCTTTGAAGCGCGGCAAAATATCTGTACAACACAAAACAATTTCATAAATAAATAAACATACTGACAGACAAAAAACATGTATATTTGTAATTAATTTTTGCTTACTGAGGGAGTTCTGCGAAGTTCGACTCCCAACTATCGTACACACACTCGATTGCTTTTTTTATGTCGTGCCATGCCTTCTTGTAACTGACGTCGACTTTCCAACACTGCTTCACATCAGCCTGGACCATGTTAATGTTGTACTCCACTTTCTTCTGAATCTTATTAATTATAAGATTCGCAATCATATGGGCGGTCACGTTTCTGTGGTCATTTCTGTCGACCTGTTGCATGCAAGTGTGTTGGTCAGTCCATTCAGTTACTTCCCACAAATCATCACACCGTCTGGACTTATTCACCCGAGCCTTCCACAGACAATGCACATTTGAATTCGATTTGCAGACCAGTTTGAATGACTTCTGATTTGAATCTTTTGTCCGAACCTCCCGCAACCTATCGGCGTTCCAAGCCATTAGACCCGTTTGGGCTTCTTCCTTGCTCTGGAAAACTGTACCCAAACGTATGGTCTCAATGTCGCCATTCCACCTTGAAATAGCATACTCGTTCGCATCTATCCTGGACAGGTCCCATTCACCCATCTCGCGGTATATGTGCCGACCACCAATAGGAAATGTGTTCTTCTTCGATGAACTCGGCTTCACTCTCCTCATTAACCGATCTATCTGATCCGGTTTCTGAGGTCTCGTCTGTGAAGTCATCTTCACCGGGAATAAAATCTTCATCGTCCTCATCCGCCGCCCATTCTCTCTATGTCCCTTCTCCAAAATTAGGTACATGAGAAGTCGATGTACCCTCGACATCAAACACTCCCCCGTAACAAGGAGTAACATTCTCAAATTGTGTAACGGGTGTATTTGCCTGCAACGATAAATGCAAATACACCATGGACATACTAGGAAAGTAATAAATCCATTCAAAACTATCATTATGAGTACTGCGGGATTCCACAAACCATTAGGTTGGCTAATCATCATAGTAATCTCCTGAATTGTCCAACCTTTTTCAAACTGACATTTTTCATTAATCATCTGTACCAACTGTTCATATGATATCCTCCCCGGAATTATAAATGAACCACTCGGACGATCTTTAAATGAAACAAAATCGCTTAACATTTCTTTTCCAAAATGCCAGTACAAATTAATAAGGTATGGACCGGGATAGGCCATTTTATACCTGTTGCAAATAAACACTTTCAATT